TATATATATATATATTGTGAATGCGTTCACGTTTCTTCTTTTTTATTAAAGAGGCTTGGAGGCAAACAGGTTGTCAGCAATACAACCAGGAGCACTGGCGGGTCCAGTACGGCTACATTGGCTGTAAGAACCGTACAGTTCGTACATTAGACTGAGAAACTAATTAAGTATATATTATAAACAGGGTTTCAACGTTTACCTGACTGGATTTGACTTAAAAACTAAATTATATTGCATAAAGAATGTTTTTGATTGTTTTTGGATTATAAGAAATATAAGATATGACAAAATTACTTCATGGCCAATATTGACCTTGGTAAACTCCAAATTGATATCAGCCTTACAGCTTCAATTGAGGATGATCAGTTCTTTGATAAAGCATCAAAGTATCTTTACAAGACTTACAGTCTCTGCCACATAGGGCAGATTTGTAAGCTGACTCAGGTCTGTTACAGATAATAGATAATTTTATGGGTCAGATAATTCTATTGTTTGTAATGTATGTTTTTGGTTGTGTGTTTTCTCATGGTTTGGGAGAATTCCATGCTGTTAGACATCGAAAACAACGGAAACTTATCTCGTTCGAACAGGGAAATGGAAGAAAATCTTTTGGATGAACATTCTCTCCGCACACTATGCCAGGACTTACCAACAGTCGAGTGGCTGTGAGTACACCCATTCGTTCTGTGGAAACAAGTCTGTTTAAGTTCCCGCCACACATAGCCGAACACGGCCTCCCGAACACTGACCGAACTCTTCACAACCATGCATATGGTTAGGATTGGGTCGGGAGCAAGGTCGGCTGGGTCTTGTCACACATAGCCGAACATGCTCTTCCGAACACTAGCCTAACTCACTCCAACCATGGATTGGAGTAGGTCGGCTGATGTTCTGGTTGGTCGGACACTGTTTGGATGCCGGATATTTCAAAATGTTGAAAAGATTTGGATGGGGATAGGAGGTTCAGCCATAGTTTGCTGCTGGTTAGCTGATGCTCGGGAATAAGTCGGGGCGTAGTTAGAAGTGAAATTTAACTCTGATTTAACTTAAAGTCAATTTGATTGGAACAGAAAGGTAGATCCGGCCTAAATCTGGTCAGACCTCTCCCAAACCTGAACCAGGCTGGTGTTAATGGGGATGTTCGGAATGTGTGACGTGATCCCTGAGGTAAGCACGTATTGAAGGCCTTGACAACACTGCTTTATGTACTGTGGCAATCATACGGGAGGGGGGGGTATCAGGTAATAGATTTGTTTTGACTTGTAAGTTTTTTCCTTTTCCCTTTATTGTTTTTTTTTTAATTCATAATATTATATATAAAAACAACATAGTTACAATGCAATGAACCATCCCTTACACAATAATTCAAATCATAACAAATCACTGATCATAGTAATAATCATAACAATATTTTCTATCGTAGCAAACCATTGATCAGAACAATAATCGTAACAATGATTCAAATTATAACAAATCTTTGATCAGAACGATAATCAAAAATAATTTGAATCATAATAAAGCATTGATCATAACAATAATAGCAGACGTGTAAGTAATAACGATCAATCTGTCTGACTGGGTAATTAATTTTTCAGGGAGCTTGAGAGAAACAGCATTACGGCTTTAGGTCCGGAATATCTGCAGGGCTGCCAGAATCTGACCATGTTGTAAGTACAACATTAAGTACGAAGTAGAAATAAGGATCTTACACGCACGACATACAATTGAACCGTTACAGTTTTTATATGGCATCCGCCTTCAGAGAAATATTAGATTTTTTCCATAACATGCTATGGGATGAAATATATATATATATATATATATGAGAATAATATATTTCATCCATGCCTACCTTAACCCTAAACAGTACACCTG